GTTCAATTTAGTGCAACATAGCTACGCCGAGTTTTAGAACAAATCAAGAGTATATATTAGAGACATACATTACGCCTAAGACATCAGCAATCCACTAGACAGGTGTGGAAACAGCTTAGACAGACGTTTCTAATCGCTAGGCAGAGTCATAGCTAATGCAGGAGATCCCGGTGATGACTAGATAAAAGCAAAGACAATCATTTGAGAGTTACTGAAGAATATTTTTTCCTCATATTTATGTCACAATAATATTTTTTGTAAAAAATATTGTTCATTTATCAACAATCATATAAATATCTATATAATAATATAAACTGATAAAAATAATTTTAAAATATCAAACATGACAACAATATATAATCGAACAGAAATGTACAGAAAAGAATGGTCGTCTTCCTATGAATACATCATTATCTTTAATTTATATCAATTTAAGATTAGGATAAGTAATGAAATATTCTATCCAATGAATACTTTCGGAAATTTCAATGTAATAATGAGTTTATAAAAGAAATTCTCATGCGTTTGTTATTATCAACAATATTCATGAGAAGAAAACAACTAAACCCTTTTCTTTCCATAGAAAATCTCATTAATATATACGCAAAACTTTGTTTCTTATTCATTTGTACTATAGTATGGATGAGTTCACTGAATTTCAACAATTTTGTAGCGCCTCAATTCCTAACAAGATGAAAAAAATAAATTTCATCTTGTTTTACAAAGATAAAAACTTTTCTAATAGTCAATACTCAATTGAGAAAAATAATCATTGAAAATTTAGTATTATTATTATGAAAGGAAAATTCTTTCTAAATTAATAATTGTCAATTAACCAATTCAAATCGTACAAAAACTCATATTTTAACTATTGCAAAGTACGACTGTGTCATAACCAAATACTTCTATCATTTTCTAATCTTTTAACTTTGCTATATTTTCTTTACTTATTCTAAAAAATACACGTTTATCAAGTAAATATTAATTTTTACTACAAAACTATCAAACACTATAAGCAACTTCTAAATGATCAAACTATAGACAATGTAGGCCTCGCGCGGGAGTCCCAAGATTGGGGAAGGAGTGTGAGTAGAGTCCCGAGTAAAGATGTTCGAGACCAAGTATTTTTGGTTTCGGTTTCGATCCCGATAAAGTTTTATCTTTGGTCCTGATCCCGATGATTTTAGTTTTCCTGTAATCTATCTCAGTATAGAGAAAACTGTTGCAGAATTTATTGGTCTCATATATAAAAAAATCCTTCAATTCTTGTTTTTATGAGTTCTTTAGTCGAGGATAGACGTGTGCGGGATCAAGAATTTTTGGCTCGGATCCCGTAGAGCCTCGACAGCATCTTTTTGAGTAGTCTCGATCGTAGTCAGAGTCAATCAAGTATCTCATGTAAAAATACAGGCCAAAAATTTGAGTCAAGTTGGTTTGTAAAAAGAATAATCACTAAAAATTGATTAAAAATACCAAATTTCGATGAAATCCAATGTAACATTTGATTATAATTAATTTTACTCAGTAAAAATTGATTTAAATAGATTAATCTTGTTTCTAATTCTAACCGACTTTAATCCATTGTTCTTCTTTTTAATTGATTTTAAACAATCAATGTGTATGAAATGTTACTGATATAAATGACCGAAAGCAAATTTTTTTGTGGTCTTCCTCATCTCTACTCGAGGCGGCAAAGATTTGAGAACGCAAAATCTTTTTCATATCAAATCTGATATTAATCTCTCTCTTGCAACCTGAAATGTAACAGTTTTTAGAAAAGCGAAAAATTTTTGCAACCTTCTCCAAAAAATTCGATTTTCTCTGGCAAATCTTCTAGGAGAGAACCGATGCCCAATGTAAAGAAATTTCTTAGTAGTTTTGTCGTCGAAGGCAAGCGCGCTGCCGAAAACTGTTCTAAATTAGGCTGTTTCAAATGGGAAATTGACTAAAGTAGGGAATCTTTCTAAGTTAACTACGGTTACCTAATTATTATTTTTCGAGAAACGAAAACTTTTTTCAGACTCATGAAAAACTCCTTTTTCTTGTATTTTTTTTTGAAAGGAAAGTGTTATGGTAGCTCTTAGCAATTTTGGCGCTGAAGGTGGCCATGCTAGTGACGATTGTTAGAAAATGAAGCTCTTCAGAAGGAAGACAGTAGTAAAATTGCTATAAAAACACAAAAATTACAGATATTTTTAGGTCGAATACGCTTACATCGTACTTTTTTGTAAAGCGAAAAATTTTAACATCTCTTCAGAATTTTCTAGCAAAAATCATTGTTTGAGCCTGGATGTCAAGTAAAAAACCAGCTGACTTCTTAAATTGGCTACATAACGTTCTGTTTTTCATCAAAGTCTCAACGAAGGCTTCTGATTATTCGAAAAGGATCATTCTCGACTGCCCACTCTGCTCGGAACATTTCTGAGAAATATTTATGAAAATATCTCAAAGAAATACTTTAAAAAGCTTTATCGATTTTGCTGGCTACTAATGGATAATTTTCAATTATTGGAAGGGTGTACATCTCTCACTTTCGCAGGTGCTGAGACAATGTCAACAGAAGATGGTTTAAGAATCTCATGATTGACTTCCAATGATTACAGACGATAAAAATACTATTTTTAAAATAAGACAAAAAAAGGAAGATCATGGAAATATTCATCATTTCAAAACAAAATGGACTCATAGATTTTAATGATTAAAATGTCGTTGGTTTGTATATAGATTAAAATAATCGATGAGAAGTTATCACAACACGACGAATTACCGTAAGAAGAGAAAAATTTTGTTGGATACAACATCAACTAATCAGCAAATCGAAAGTATAAATGCATCACTATGAAGAACAGAAATGTTGACACGGCTGTCCCTAGGAACGAAATGTGAAACATCAAGATTTCAATAGATTCTTACCATTATTATTCTGTTCATCGCTCATTTCATTCATAAAACTGTAAAATCCCTCACCTACGAAAAGCAAACTCTTCTAGCCATAAAATATTCATCAACGACTAATTCAGAGGATGAAACAACATTTCACACTAATCACACAAGCATGTTCAGTATATCTAAGCAATTACGTTAGATGCAGAACTCAATTCTCAATGGAATTGTGTCTATTTCAGTCACTGGACATACTTATGAGTAGAGATATATGGTCACGCATGTGGTATCACGTCTATATGTTAGTAATTGAAAGCAGAAATAACAGATTTCCTACGAATCATCTAACAATGCCCGATTATTTTGGAGATATATGTTGCATGCAGAATTTGATTCTCTATCAAATGGTATTTTGGTATGGATCTTATCCTCCATCACACCCACATCAACTTTTCTAATTTAATCAATTACTGAAGTGTTGGAAGATATTCTTCATGATTGTAATTTACATATATAAATATTGCAATCATAATTGTTTTTTTTGAATTTTCATCAAGTGAATCTATAAAATATGTTTTTAATGATATTATATCTTTCAATAAGTTTTATTTTGTAATAATCAAGTTAATTTTGAATCACGAAAAGAAACATGTGAATTATCATCAACAAGTATACAAAATAACATTACCAAATACAGAAGAAAAGTCAAAATTTATATTTGTTTCTTCTTTAAAACGTTCATGGTAGGTGTATAGATGAACTGTGGATGAGAATTTTTTCGTTATTTGAATCTATACCCACATCTTTAACATGTACATTTATTAATGTTTCAATAGACTTCATATTTACCTTAACTTTTCGGTGCTCAATGTTCTCGTGCTTATCGTTTCCTTGTCTAAGTATCCGTGTTTAAGTTTTCGTGCTCATCATTTCGGTTCTCGTTTATTGCATAAGCATTAAATTATAACAAGAATAACCAGAGAGAAGATGTAAATTGTATAGATGTGTGAATAGAAAATAGAAAGAAAGAGAAAAGAGAATATATATATGAGGATGATCAGTCTAACCAGATCCTCCAGTTCTTTTTTTTTTATCATACAGCTTCTATAATATATCAGCAAAATATGATATTTTCTATCATTTATAATACTTATGTAGTGCTGATGATTTTTTATTGTTTGAGTTAAATGTCTTGTTTGAAACAAAAATAATCTAGCGTCTTCGGAAAATGTTTTGCGCAAACGTTCTTTTTATCAAACTTGTTCATTCACTGTAATTCATACTTGTTATATGAAACAATTAAAAATACCATTGACAAATTCTTTATTAAAAGTAATCGATCAGAAACTATTGATAACATATCAAGGTCTATGATTATGATTATGATATCTATTCAATGTTAAGATTACATAGAATAGAGACAATATGTATAATTTTAGTACTCTTATGAAAGCCATCATAAAGTCCTTTGTAAATATGTCCTAAAATAGTATAACTTTTAATACTTTGATAAATATGTTTAACAGCTTCTCCTGCGCTTCGGATCCAGCACAATATTGAATTTGTATACTGTCAAGTCGAAAAAATCAAAATGGAATATCAAAAATGTCAAGTGAGAATTATAATAAACAAATAAGTTTGATAAATATACATTTGAACGAAAAGCGTTTACAAAGACACTTGATTATTTTGGTTTCGGACAATATATATAATCTAAACAATAACAAGTCTTCAGTACTACACGTGTATTATAAATAGTAAGGATGAATTGAGATATACGGCCAGACTAATCATTTCTATATATTTCTTTCTTATTATACATAAAGATCAAAAATTCTTTATATATCACAGTGACAATATATTTAAAAACAGAATAACAGGTTTCTTTTATGTATTCAATCAACCGAAAATATTTAGGTGATTCTAACGTTTCTATTCTTCATTAATTTTATGAGGCACATTTAAAATAATGTTTTCAGCATTACACATTTTTATTTTTGAAGAAATATATTCGATTTCTAGAAAAATCTAGAAGGAAAAAAAGCGACACCAAAAATGAAACAAGCAACTAAAAGTATATATTTGTTATATTAAAAGTTCAAGCATAAAACATGATTTTAATGAAGCGAAAAGCGTTGAATGCGATTATTACTAATGTCCGATACATACAAATAGTTTTCTTCATAATCAATTGCTAAACCATAGGTTATACTCATTAAGTATGGTGTGCGACCTGATGTTCCAATTGAACTTCCTGCAACAGTAACACCAAATGTTGCATTCTTTTGCCATTTTTGAATTCTATTATTGTAACTATCAGCAATGTAAATTGAACCATCCAATCTTGAAACATATATATCCGTTGGACGATATAGCTGATTACTAGCCAAACCTGGACCATTTCCACCAGCAACCGTTACTCCAACGCCTAAACCACCCAAAACAAATCGTTGTATACGATGATTATAGCGATCGGCCACATATATATATGAATTAGATTCATCCAAAGCAAGAGCATAAGGTATACGCAACGATAGACTATCATTACCCGGTGCATCTGATGGTAATCCAGCTATAACTGTACCACTAATAGCATTTGGCACCCATTTAGTTACCCAATTGCAAGCAGAACTGGCAATATAAACATTACCTACACTATCAACAACGATTCCTGTCGGAAAGTATAACCAATACATTGAACAGTTATTGTAGGAGATGCCACTCGGTGGAATAGTTTTATTCGTTGGCCATATGTATGCAAGATGAGCATACATGATAGTAATATAAATATTTGAAGTTCTATTGTCAAGAGAGAGATATCCAGTCCAGCTGCTAAAATTTCTAAGTGCGTGACCTGTACGATTATTGGGATTGAACATAAAAAGTTGGTTAGTACTATCTCCAACATATAATGTGTTATTATAATCTAATAGGATGCCTGTTGGACCGTTTAATGTTGTTTGATTTGTACTAAAACTGCCGTTACACCCACCAGCTACTGTTACACCAAAAGACATTGGCACAAGCGTTGTGTCTATGAATGAAAATTGCAGAATAATGAACAATTCAAAATTTCATTAATAGTATCTTTAATTCTAGATAAAAATTTCTTGTAGGTAAATAGACTATGCTATAGGTAAATGCATCTTATCATTTATTCTATAGTTCGAACTTTCTACTGCTTCATAGAATAAATAATTGTGTGCTTACAGTCAAAAACTATTGGTAAACATTTTGACCACGCTCCATAGCAATCTGTTGTACAAGTAAGATTCAAATTTGATCGACATGCATCTCGTTGTGTGCATGTATCATTTTCAAATAATTGTAATGCACAAACAGATCCATTCCAATATGTATTTGCTGGACATTGACATTTATTGATATTTGTAAAACAAATTTCATATCGATTTTCTTGACATGCTTGACAAGATTGATTATGAATTGATGAATAGAGAGTTGAGAAAATTTGAACAATACCAACAATAGATGTTGATGAAGATGATGAAATAATTGATCCTGTTGTAGAATCACCTTCAAATAGACGACATCGTTTTGAAATCAAATCATAATCGAATATACGACAAGATGATAGTTGATTACATGCTTCTGAACAGAGAATTTTAGTTTGAATTATTTCCGTTGCTAATAACTGAATAGTATTGTTTGGGGTATATTCTAATCCTGTAGAAGTTAATTTCATATATGATTGATAGATAGAATCTATTGGTAAAACATTAATGATGATAAGAATAATAAGTAACATCTTTTCGTTTTTTTTTTCAGAACTAAAAGATAACAATAAGATCTGATCAACTAATATTAAGAATTTATTGACAATAAGAAGAGAAAAAAAAAATTTTATATATGAAATAAATGAAAAAGATAATATAGACTTAGAAAACTAACTATCAGATATTCTATTCTATTTTATTATTGTGCATTTCACAAATGTGAAAATATGATTTTAGTGACTATGTAACATTGCTACTCTATTAGAGATCATTCTACTCAATCAAACATAATTGTCAGTAAGTTATTCAATTGTCGTTGATCATATTAACACTTTTTTGTAATTTTAAATGAAAGTCATGAATACTGTTCACAATTTTGTTTGACACTTCTATTATTAATGAACTTGAACAAAGATAAGTTAATTCTATATGTGAAAATTACGTTTGCTTGATTAACCATAGTACTATCAGTCGGAGTCATTTTTGATCACGACTCAAAAATTTCAACATGCACTAGAAAGATTTTGTTTCTTCTTAATTTTTGAAAATAATTATCACTTCTCACGAATAGATATACGTTATTGAATCTAAAAAGAAATTCATCTATTTTCTACATTATTACAAGCCTTCGGTGGAATAACATGTCTTCAGTATACAATAAACATATAAAAAGAAAGGAGTACAAGTTAAATTTTCAAAACTACAATGCAATGAGTGATTTATTATTTCAACTGAATATTTTAGATCCATTAAAAAATATTCTTTTGAAATGGTTTTGAGCTATCCAATTAGAATGGAAGACGATTCATTCAATTGTGGGTTAAAGGTTAACTGGCCTCTTTTTCCTGTTTCATACTTATTGAGTAATGAGGTCATTATATCATATTAAAGGTGTGTAATGGTATAGAAAAAAAAAAAGAATGACTTTTTAGATTCAACAGCATATGTCTACGTATATCTATTTGTAAGAGATGCTAGTTGCTTCCAAAAACCAGGAAAAAATAAAATCTTTCTAGTGTATTTTGAAATTTTTGAATCCGGATCAAAAATGACCTAGGCCGGTAGTATTAGAGTTAAAGATTTTTAAATATGTATCATCATATCTTATCTTTTTCTCAATGCTATGTAACATTTATTTCATCATGTTAGATTCAGCGTCATATGTATAGTTATATATATATATATATTGGTCATGCAATTAACATTACGACTTGAATAGTTAATATCAGAAAGTTCTTCACTGACTTTTTCACTTCTAGGATAACTAATCGTGAATGTTTTTGAAATCAAAAATAAATAAAAATGGCTCAATTTAATTGCAATAAAATAAATCTGGGAATAATAAGAATACCGTCGTGTTATATGGTATTCATTACTCTCTGAAATACCCTTCTATTTATACAAAAAACTGCGTCATATGTTTTTTTTTTCGAGCATTTATAAGCGAACAAAAGACAATAGTTTTCAATTCATTCGTTCATTATTATGCTATTGATTTTTCTTTTGTTTTAATAAATAATATAAGGCTATGTTATTTTTTTAGAAAGTTCTATTAAAGTCATGATTTATTTTACGTGTTAATTGTTTTTTTTCACACAAAAGTAAAATCTATCTAATTTGAATAGTATTAAAATCGATAGAAAGTTTTCTATTCGACTTATTAAATAAAAGAAATGATTTCATTTCCATTGTAGCTTTTTATCATATGAAATTAATCTTTTTTAAATAAAATAATTCAACGTAAAAAAAACATCTTCAAATAAAGAAAAAAAAATATCAATGAATTTTGATTCCAAATTCAACCTTGCATTTGAATTAAATGATAATTTCTATGTTGATTACTATTGAATTCATTCAAATAGATTAATTTCTATACGTTAATCTATTTTATTCTATAGTTTATCATATTAGATTAAATTATCAATAATATTATATTTATCTTTAATGTTGATTCGATAAAGACATGTAATTTAAAATGAAAGTTTATTTATTTATTTTGTTACAATCGAAAAAAAAAATAAAATAGAATAAAATAAATGAGTTAGTTTTGTTTGTTAGTAGTTATAATGCAAATAAAAAACATAAAGAAAAATTTTTTTTTGATTTTATAATGACTGGCTTTTCTTGGTAAATGAGATATTTCTTTTTTTTACTCTTTGAAACAAATTAAGTATTTAAAGGCTATCATCCATTGTAAGTTTAAGAGTATTTTTTTTATTATTAAATTTTATTGCTTGTTGTTTTTTTGTAGTAGTTATTGTGTCATCACCAGAATTATTACATGGATCATCAGCAATAGATGTATCTAATGGTTCATTTTCTCCATCAGAATATTGTTCTAATTTTTCAAAACCTTTTCGTCGATTCGTCCAATCACCAAGAAACGAAACATTGCTAATATCACGATTTTTCACATCAGTGGGGAATGTATTCAAACGATGAATTTTACCTATAAAAAATGAATATTATTTTGAAAATATCTGTTTGAAAAGAAAAAAAAGTTTCATACGCTTATTTTTTATTCGAATAATACATCCAATAATCACAGAAGCAAGAACAGAAATGGCAAAAGCAGCCATTATAATTAAAGAAATACGAAAATTTTTATCATTGAAATTGATTCGTTTAATAAACGTTTGTGTCGGAAGATCTAATCAATGAAAAAATAAATTGAAGATTAAGAACAATGAATCTATTTTTACCTTTTTGCTTAGATAATTCAAATTTACGTAAAGCATTATTAGGTGATGATGCTAATTCACCAACATAAATTTCACGAGCATTTATTGATACAGTAATATCATGTGGAGCATTTAAATGCTATTATAAAGCAAAAACAAAAATCGTTTACATTTTCTAATGTTAATTATAAATAAACTTACTGGATTTGAATCAAATGATGTTAAAATTTCTCCTTTTTGTGCATCAATCATATAAACTTTTTTATTTGATGTTTGTGCTCCTCCAGTAACAGCAAATAAAATTGTTCCTAAATAAAAATGAAATAATATATTTTATTTTGATTTATTATTTTCCTATTAATAACAAACCATTAGTATTTGGTGCAAATTCAATAGCATAAATTGCACCAATCTTTTCTGTTATCTCTACACGTATTTGTCGTTGAAATTCTCCTGTATTTGAATTAAAACATTGAATACGAAAATTTTCTCGATCAGCACCACATAATAATTGTGCATCTTCATTTAATGCTATTGAATGAACAATATTCCATTCATTAGGTAGTGGAAAACCATCACCTAGAAAAATTTTCATAGATTTAAAATAAATAAGTTTTAATCAAACATTTCAAAATGTTAAAGTTTTTTTCTTTTTATTTACATTCATCAAATTTAAAACCTATGAGCGACACAAATCAGGATGCAGGGCACTACCGAGATCTTTTTTTAAAATCCTTACTTTTTATGCAGAAAGAAGGAATCACAAGCTCAATGACTGAAAAAAATCCTAAAAAATATTGCTGTTTCTATAGAAGGGTTTTCTTATAGAATAATAAAAAAAAAACCGAGATATCAAGTAAAAATCTTTGTTGTTAATGAGAGATTCGATCACGAGCTATCTTCCTCTCCATTTATTTTAACTTCAATCATTAACGTATACTGTCTCTAGTAAAGAAAACAAATCTAGAAAGATGTCAAAATTAATTATATTGTTCATTATACAGAACAAAAAAACATGTATTTGGTCATGAAAAAAAAAAGGATAACTTACTATCAAGTTTTCCTGACATTGGTGAACCCCATTCCATGATATATTCTCCTTTGCGATTAAATTTAATAATACGACTATTGCAATAGCTATAAAAACAAAAACAAAAAATAAAATTTTTATTAATTTTCTTTTCTTTTGTTTTATAATATTTACCCATCGGCAACAAAAAAATCTCCATTTTTCATAACAGCAATATCAGCTGGTCGACAAAGTTGATTAGGTCCTGAACCAGGTTTAAACATTTCTCCAACAATTAATGCTGAATGATTTAAATCATTTGGTTTAAACATAAAAACTTGATGCATAGCAATATCAGTTAACCAAAAATTTCCTTCATGATCTATTGTTAAACCATGTGGCATATAAAATTTTTTCGAACCCCATCGAAATTTTGTTTGTCCTGTACGTGTATCAATATGAATAAGAACATCTTCTTCAATTGGACCATAATCTTCATTACGAAAATTAAAACCATTAAAATATCTATTGTAATAAATAAATATAATGAACGAAGTTAATCTTTTAAATAAAATTTTAATTTTACTTAAATTCCCATTTTCGAGAACCACGATGAAATACAATAAGTTCATCATTTGCATTATTTAATGCAATACCACCTACTTGACCAAGTTGAGCTGGTAGTGATTTAATATCAGGCCAATTTTCGACACTTTTATACAAATTAGCTAAAAATATTTTTAAAAAAAAAACAAAATTATTTTAATTTTTTTATAATTAATAAATTATTTATCATTGCAAAATAAAAATAAAAAACAAAGCAAAGGAAATAAACGAGTGACAATATCAATTCTCACATCTCATTAATTTTGCATTATGTAATTTTACTGTTTGTCCTTTTCCATATGTTAAATGATTTGGTAATAAATAATCATAATTTTGTGCATCAACATATTCATAGTCTGGTAAACCAAGATGTGATAAAATTTTATTTATATCAAAATTATCTATTCCTTTATCACGATGACGTATATTTTCAAATTCATCTAGATAATCTTCATAGGATTGATCATCATTTGCTAATTATATTTTGATATGTATTTATTTATTTCAAAACTAAAAAAAACTTATAATATTAAAATTACCTGTGTATGAATTCATTGCATGTTCAGCATGAGCATGATGACCATTCTGTGTTCCACTAATATCAGCTGGTTTAAGAGGAGGAATCTCACTATCTGGAGGAATGAGACTAAACAAAAAGAATAATATTCATTTGTTTTTAAATCAAATATATTATTAGAATTATTTAAATATGCATATTATAGAAAGACAGATGTATAAACGAAGAAGTTCTTTTTTCTCACAAAACAGTATAATTATTAGAACATATAATACTGAAGTTTCTTAATCCTATTCTCAAAGGTTTTAGAATGATTACTGTTACATATTTTGGTAACGCGGAAACCGCTCGGCGTGATATCTAGCGTTTGAGGTAAGACATCAGTCATTACATAGAGCCTGTTGAGACTAGAAGAATTACTTTTCAATGCGCTGTCCTCTTGGAGTTATGGCCGTTACATTGGATTTTTTACCTTTGGCATGGTGCTTATAAACAAACTAGATAAACAAATTTTAGCAGAAATTTTTCGACGATTCTAATAATTTCAAAAGCTGTCTATCGGCAAAGTTTTATGCCAAAATTCATTTGTTCAGTTTTTTTATAATCACTGTGTCAAATGTAAAAAAATCCCGTATAACAGTCATAACTTCAAAAGGACGGCACAAAGAGAAGAATCCTTCTAGTTGCAACACACTCTTGGTAATGACTGGAATCTCATCTTCGATGCGAGATATCACCTCGGATGATTCCCTGGTAAGTGTAAACAGATTGGTATATGTCTAATAGGATAGTATTGTAAAAAAGCATATTATTAGATTATTTATTGTTTTTTAATAGTTCTTAAATCATATTATATTATTGATATAAGAATTATTGCAACGCTATTGAAATAACTAAGAGTTGAGAGCTAAGTATTCTGAAAAATCAAGGCTACTTAGATCAACTCTGAATTCTTTTATCAAATAAAAAAAAAGAAAAGCAAAGTTTTTACATTTTATCGATTCAAAGAACAGCACGGTCTTCCGTAATTTAATATTCATTACTTCTAATATAAGAGAATTAGAAAATTCCAATGACATCTCTACTCAGTTAAATCAGTTATAAATAGTTTACCTTGCCATTCTGCTGATTCCATTATCCCAACACATTTGAGGTGGAGATAAGTCATGTTTTGGATCATATGAATACATCACATATACGTTACACATTTCATCGTGGTGCGTTGATCTAATATTTCAATGAATATTGTATTATAAAATATAGGATGTGTTAGTTAACAAATGCATAGAACTCCACTACATATCTTGTTTAATCCAAAAGATTTTATTTCCGATTTGAAACAAGAGACGCAAAAGTTTTTATTCTTTCAGAATAAACTCATTAACACTTTTGACTACAATACAAAAAAAAATGAAGACTTTCTTCGATGTCAATAATGATATACATCGTTTTTTTTTAAATGTTTTCTCAAAACAAAATTTGATCTTTAAGAACAAAAATATTACGCATTTTCTGTTTCAAATAGAAAAATTTTGGATTAAATTTTATCAATAGTTGAATTAAATACATTTGTTAAGTGATTATGATTTTTTTTTAGACATTATATATATATATATTCTAAAAAAAAGAAATAACTTACCCGGCAGTAATAATTCGATCATCATTATTATCATAGACACATTGACCAACAATATAATCCTTATTTTGAATTTCAATAGTTGATGGAAGTGGATAGAATGATTGAGGCCATTGTGGATCACCTTTGACAACCTGTGAAATTTCTCCATTACGTACTCGATACAACGAATTAACTCGTGCTATAAAATAAAAATAAATAAATTTGAATAAAAATATATGATAGAAAAAAAGAAAAACAATACAAACCCCATTGATGGGCATGAACACGAGCAGCAAAGATAGAAATAGGTGGTCCATTATATTCACATGAAAAAGGAGTTCGAATAGCTAATACAAAGATAAATTTTACGAATTCAAATTAATGAATAAATAATTTTCTTCATTTTACTTACTATGTGTTTTTGGTCGTAGATAGATAGCACCCGTACCACTTAATAAGACACCTGCATGATATTTACGTCTAGAATAAAACATTATTTTATAACGAAAACACAAGAAGTTTCTATTTTATTTTAAAAAAAAATTTATCTACGGTTTTCGAGTCATAATTAATTGATTTCCAGAATTATCATTTTTCAAAATTAACAAATAATGAATATTAATAACAATATATTTGTATGGTGTATTACGTCCAACAGGAATACCGACATCTAAATATAAAAAAAATAGAATTTTTCTCGTTTTAATTATGTTAATAAAATCCAAATACCTTCAGGTAGTGTAAATGAAGGTGCATTTCGAGCCCATCCATGAATAATCATTTGCTGACCACTACATGGTCCATATCCAGTCCTACATAAATAAATCGATCTAAAAAAGTATTAGAGAAAAACAAAAACAAAAACAAACCAGAATGGTTTATCCGAACCGGGTGCTGAACAGGCATATGAAAGCATATGATGAGCTGAATTCATATTGATCAATGGTGAATATCCAACTAAATTGAAAATTCTTCATCATTTTGATTAAAAAAAAAAATTATTAACTCACCAATAAATAATTCTTCATCGGGTAATTTATGTTGAACATATGCATATTCATCTTCCTAGAGAAAAAAAAAGCCCAATGTAAAAATTTACGCATGGAAAAAAACAATTTTTTTTTTTGTTGGGTATATATGTAAACCTGTTTTGTTTCATAATTGTTCATAGTAACATTAATAGTAAAGAGATCATCATATTTTTTTGAAACACTGGCCGAATAACCACAATTGATAATAGTAACAAGGACAATAACAATACTAAGGACAGTTTTTATACGAAAACAAATATTGTTCATTTTCATAATTGTTTTTGTTTGTTTAATAGAAACAATAAAACTAAAAATCATCAATAAAATTTCATTAGTTTATATACTTTTCTTTTTCTTTGTTTTTTGTTTACTTACGTATACTTTTGTTTTTAGTCACAATATGAAGAGAAACAAGTTGAATACAGAACTGAAAAACAAAAGAGGGATATTACATCTGAAATTAAAGGAAATAAATTATGACAATTAGATGTCAAATAGATTGAAAAAACAACAAAAAAAGAAAGAAAGAAATCATTGGTATGCATAAATGACTATCTTACTGAAATCACTTATCATTAATTTGATAAGAAAAACTAGAAAGAAATAGACTCTGCACAAAATCATTTTTTTGTTTTGATGACTGTAATATTGTTGAATTTGGTTGAGCTAAAGAGGAAGAAGTAGATTCATCACACATTCGCCGTAATAATGAACGATCAGATTCTGTATTTGTTTTTGTTGTTGTTGTTGTTGTTGTTGTTGTAGGAGTTTTCGTTTTGGAAGAGGTTTGTTGTTCAGGTGTAGATTGTTGTTGAGTAACAATACGTGCCCAAGTTTGAGGATTATTAGTAGGTGAAATGGATGGATCAGTTAAAAGAACTGATGAAAGAAATGAATCAAGAAAATCACTTTCAACAGATGTAGGTATTGATTGCTGAGAATGATTTAATTGATGATAATGATGAGAACGTCCAGCTGCACGAAGACGTTCACGTTCATATTGTTGACGAGCAAATGTTTGAAGATTAATTGTATTTGGTGAAGATGTTAATGAACTATTAGTATTAGTTACATTATTATTATTATTAGCTGCTGCTAATCGTCGTACAGTTGATAATTGTGTTAATAAATTACTAATTGGATCATTTCCACTAACAACTGTAGGTAATCCTGATGATCTATCAATTACAAAATGTTGACTTATAGGTCCACTTCCTCTTTCTGATGCACCTCTTCGAATAGTTGTTCTTAATAATCCACGTCGAAAACCACCACGAATTCCAGAATTAATACCAAAATCATAATCTCTAGGTGGTAATGTTTGTCTTGTATAAGTATTTATTTCTCCACCAGGTGATGATACTGTATTTACTTGTTGATCTTGATGATCATTAGCTATATGTGAAATAAGATCTGTAGTAACTAAATTTGATTCACCATTAATCATAGAAGCACATATTGGACAAATAACTTCATATGATTGTTGATTATCACTATGTTTTATTTGAAGATGTTGAAATAAATCAATATTTTGTATATTATTTGATGAAGATGATTCATTAAGACATGGAAATGATAAACCCATATCACCACAAAATGGACATGTTAATGATTGAGGAGAATCATATGTATATCGTTCTCCATGATAATATAAATCAAAATCTTGATGTGTTAAAATACCTTAAATAATGAAATATTTTATAATAGAAAAAAAACAAAAAAACAAATTTACATTGCATAGGATGTTCTCTTGTATGATGACTAGATATTTCACCTTGTTCATAACATGTAGCACACAAATCATAATCATAACAAATTAGACATTTGAAACGCTTTGAACGAAAATTACTTTTACCACAAGCATCACAACTAACACCTTCATGAACTGACATATTTAAGAATAAATGGCGAGGTCAATCCAACGCCATACGGTCATGCACCAGCAGGTTACATATAAAATCAGACAAGACTACCATAATGCTTGAATAACATCAACCAATCAGGATATACCTCCTCGACGATGACATATTACTTTATTCTATCTAGCAAAAAGAAAACCATTATGATGAAAATAAAAGATTTCAAACAATCGGTCTTGTATAAACATTATTATTAAATAATAAGTTTCAAAAAATGTCGATGTAATCTTTATTTTTTGTTCTGAAAACCACTGCTAAGTCTCAAAAACAAACAACGAATGGCCAATTGCGACGTTTGCAAGCCATCTATTTTTAACCTCATGGGAAAATACTTTTCTTTTTACGCTTGAAATATTATTGGTATGCTGTCAGACCCCAATGACTCATACTTTTAATAGCAGATTCGAAAGTTACTGATGCACTTTGGCTACATTTTCGGCCCAAAGAATTTTATTGGATGAATTTTTGTCGAGAGATCACATTTTTCATTCACATTTCAATTTACTATGTGGGATGACTAGCAGATTTTTCACAACCATTTTACAAGCGATTTACTATGTGACTTTAGCACCCTCTATCTGACTGATTGATTATTCGTTCTATCCAGTCTTTCCTCCTAGCTGAACACACTTCATTAATATTCACTTCTGGAGATTATTATGATTGTCTCAATGTCTGTACTGCCTTCCCTGAACACTGTAACAACGAGTTAGGCTTTAAGTGAGTATACTAATTATGAATTATCGTTAATATTGTCATCTTAACATATTCATGTAATTTAGATAACGTCAAATCAACGAAGTCACATTAACCAAATATATACATTAACTCATTTTTTTCTTTTATTTTTTTTTATCTCGTTGTTGTATTAAATTTTTTATTGTAGTATTTTTAGTTTTTAGTGCATGTTCTTCTTTATTTCCTCCTCTGTTGTGTGGGAATTCGATGTTTAAAAACTCTCTTTTTTCCTAATAATAAATTGATATCTGATGTATATTTCAAAATTACTTTTGAAACACAGTAGAAATATAAACGATTTCCATTTGTCAATGGATAAAACTGGATGAACTCAAGTCAAATGTCCAACCACGAACGAGCCATACCGTGAGAAGGTCATCCATTATTTAACAGGCCCCTTTCGTTACTAGGGAAACCACCTTCTCAATGATGCTCATTAACAAAAAGTATTTTTGCTAGTAAAATGAATATACCAGAGTTGTTCCTTGTCTGACTCTAGTATAGAATAAATTAAAATCTTTCGGATTTATTCTTTGGGCAAAAAATAAAAATAGATGTCACTGGTGAGAAGTGCATCTGCTATTAATTGGAAGAAAGAAACGTCTTTTAACCCCTCTGACAGTATACCATATGTAAATAACAACATTCATGATATCGAAAGGTCACCTTGAAACGTATTAAATCCCTATAAGATGTCTGAGAGGAAATCTTGTCAGATTTCCTAAATTTATAGGTATAGAGATTTTAAAAATATTTCTATTTTGACAGTTCGTAAAAGAATGTGAGTTCAGTATGAGTAATAGTAGATGTCACTCTTCTGCTATCAAGAAAATGGACTAGTAACTGCACAAAACAGGAAAAAAGTAAGGTGCAGGGAGTGCGAATTTCGAGTGAAAATTTCTTTTTTGCCGTTTTTTTCATGTTATCGGATAGAGCTTGAGCTGCTGATCACAGAAATCTACTTTTTAGTCTTAGCAAATGCTGTCTTCTGGTCTAAAAATACGGAAGAGTCGAAAAGTGTCGTTTTTCGATAAAAAACACATCTTTCTAAAAATATACAAAATTTTCTACTTTTTTCTTTTTTTTCGACTTCTGAAAATATTTTTTTTCGATTCAGCATAAAAAACTGAGTATAGACAAGTTGTTAAATCGACTCTAAACTCTAAACTCACTCTATTGGTGGTGGCGCTTGAAATCGTGTGAAGCCAGATATTAATAGATCGATTTTGTAAACCTATCTAGTTTTTGCACGTAAATAATGAAGCCAAATGCTTTGCCTCATGATATTTACCATATCATCCCTCCACCCACGTTACGGATTGGTTTTTTCCTTTTCTTTCCTGTG